ATACAGCAATCGGATTATAGATGTTAGAAATACAACGCTAAATTATATGATCTATGGAGAAACAGGCAGATTTCCTATCCTTTTAACTATCAAACAACGCGTGATTGTATTTTGGTCCATGCTAGCTGACCCAAACTCAGAGACATTGTCGCATAAAATATATAGACTTATATTGCAGTTACATTATCAGGTGGAAAACAATTCAGATTTATAGAATTTATAAAAAAAATACTTGATCAAAACGGATTCTCTTATATATAATCTAACCAATCGATATCATCTCTGAATACAAAATGTCTTAATATTCTATCAAACACAAAACTCAGGATCAATTTATTCAAAAATGGAACAACGATATTAGTTTTTCTTCTAGAGGAGAAATGTATTTTCTGATAAAACAAAACTTTATCACCGAAGAATATCTACTGAAATTGAACTCTTTTCAAAAATATATTTGTGACCCATCATATCAAAACGGGTCTTAAGTCTCATTTTGGAAAACATTGAATTTTTACATTTCTGAATTCACAATGAAATTGTCTCCATTTTGGTATCTCATTCGGGTTTCTAGCATAATTAGTTGAGATTTTATGGCAATTTTTCTATGACATTCCAGCAATTCGTGAAAAATCAACTTATGGAGAAAATGACGTTTAAAGTTTTGAACACTAAATCACTGCTAGTCCATAGCAACCAATGCGTTATATTAAAGATAGGGCAATTATTTTTTGTTAAGGGACACATGGGGATATACCTGAAATGTCTGAAAATATTTTCCGACGTTTGGCTGAAAATTGTCATTGCTATGGTAACGGCAGTGGACGTTCTATCTTTAAAGCCCAATAATGTGACGTTATAACCTTTGTTTGATACTGTTGCACAATCAACTTCTTTGAATTCATCCAAAATGTCACTAAATCATCAGTGCTAAGTTTACAGTTTCTCTTTTTTCCATTGTGTCTTTCAACAGGTGGCAATTCATCTTCTGACTCATCTTCAGAAGATAAACAATTACTTGGTTGATCGACTGGAAGGGGGCAGACAGTGTCTTGGCTTTCCTCAGTACAATATTCGCGAATCTTGTTGAAAAAATACCACTGTCGTTTTAGATCTAGTCCTGGTGGTTTTTGAACTTCGGGTAAGGCAGAAGGGGGATGAACTGACACATCTTTCAATAGATTTATAGCCTCTTCGTTTTCATCACATACTGTCTTGCAAAATATAATTCCTGGATGGTTAATATCAAATCTGAAAAACGTTAGACATGAAAATAAAATTAATAATAACCAGTATCTGAAGAATTTTTTGGCAAATCTTTCTAAACGAGATGTTGGAAATAAAAACCTATTTTAGATTCACAAATGTACGTCGGCTTGTGATGATTAACAAAACAATTTTTTTCGCTGCTTAACAAAATGATTTAGGCGACATAGCTTTTGTTTGATAAAAATAGTCTAAGCGACCCTCTTAGCCAATGAACGCTCGAGAACTATTCAAAATGGCTGCGCCTGTTACACCTCTCTGCACCAAGAAGGTGAAAACAGAGAAGTATGAGTAGTAAAACAACCAGATTAGCCAACGCGATGACTGACACACAGAGAATGAGAAATAATGACAACACTGGGTAACTCAGTTAAGCCTAAAGTTCAGCTTTAAAGACGGTACAACGGTGGATCTCAGGATTATACGATGCAGCACAACTAAGCCTGGTAGACACTTCTGGAGAGCACAAGGAAAGGGTTCATATACTGGCACTATAACATGGTGCAACTGGAACCAACACCCCTTTCTACAGCTCTGTTAACAACAGACAAACAATGTCGTACTACCTTCTACAGGATCATCTGTGGGAGGAGAGAAACAAAACTTTGGTATTTCATAGGCTTTATCAACATTGAGGAGCACATGGAAGAGAACTTCCTGTCATAAGAGTGACTTGCCCTTGCACACAGGCATTAGTCACCTTTTGAAACACAGGCACTGGTAACTTTTACTAAACAGAGTTACCTCCCTTCAACCACTTAACTGTCCTCACTACTAAGCCTTACACATAAGAAAATGGTACCCCCTTGTATCTACTGTTACACGCCCATGGATAAGCTTACTTCGATCAATTTTTATGAATTATAAAGTTCGGAAATGAATCAGTTGTTGATAAAAAGACGAAAACTAATACGGAGTTTGAAGAACGGAATATCGCGATGTTAGTAAGAAAACTGGTGTTATGCAATTAAAATACTGAAAATGTGTCAAGCCGAACCGACCCGTTTCTTCAGCGACGTTTGACAGAAATACTCAAATGACAGCTGTGCTCTTTTAGATTTGGAAATTTATGTGTTACAGTAATAGTTAATTTCAAATGTGGAAAAACTGCAATAAGATTATAAGGTGGACTGATTTTGTTATAACAGCTTATTTTACCTCATGTGATGTAATTTCTTGATGCCATTTAATTGTTTGAAGTATGGTGCGAAAAAATCTTGCCAATCATACACATTTACAAAAACATTTCCTTGTTCATCTCCAACTAACTGTGGAATATTTACACCAGTCACTGAACTTTTCTCAACACATTCTACCATATCAGCCAATGATGATACTTCAGTACGTTTAAAGTTTTGTTTTAGTAAACCAAAACACCAGTCCGGGCCAAATTTTGTATGTCCTGTTATCATGAAATTTAATGTAATAGAAAAATGAAAATTATGTAGAGTCCTCCACATTAAATACCATATGAATTTGTTTTTATTTTGGCCACTACAATTATCACAGTGCAACTCGGCATGTTGTTCACCTAAACCATATGTGTTAAAAAAATGATGTAAGTAACTAATGACAGCATTTGATCCTTTTCCTGTACACATGCCTTCATCGATAAGGTAATTCACCTGAGATGGAATGCCTTCACATGTAACACCAAATATTCCACATTTTCTTGGTACTAGAAAGTACATTGGACCTGGCTGTAGAGGGTTAGAAGGATAGTGCACATGCTGTGCATAATCAAATGAATAATGTACATTAATATTTCTTGAACACTGTGTATTTGAACCAAGTGTTAAATTTTCAACAGATTTTTTGCATTGTGAAACCATATCTCGATATAAAGATCTTTCCTTAGAAACCAATTCTAAATGTTCAAATTGTTTTTTAAGTTTAGCTCGTTTAACGACATCAGGTAAATTAGCACTTCTATAAACAGCAGCATTATTTTTCTGACACATATCACACAAGTCAGACATTGGTTTTGTTCGTACAATATGGGGTAAAAGGCGATTCCATATATTCTTGAAATTTATAAGCATATTCAATAGCTCGTATCATTTGAACAATAATAACAATGAATATTTTTGGCCCAGTCTATTGTGTTAGTAGGTCTTTAATACGTTTAAATTTTGAACACCATTGAAAACGTTAACAATTTAGATAAGGCTGGAACAGTAATTTAAGCTTTTCTGACCAGCCACAGCCATTGCTGTTGAATAAAGTCTCCATACAGATGCCTTTGTTTCATTTGATGGGAGTAACCGAAGGTCGTCTCTTTTAAAACCAGGAACTAACTGCATGCGTTTCAGCAAATGTTGAAATAAAATTTACTACTCTTTTTATGTCATCAAAGGTCAAAACACGTGAACATTCTATTCTTCCACCACTCCTTTTTTCAATGGGTCCAATATTACCATCACAATAAGCATGTATAATATGGTTCAATCTGTCATTGCCAATACTAAAAGAAAGGAAGTAGAGAACCACTTTTTAAAATCTACAACACAACACAAATTAATAATACTAATTAATTCAGCAATATAATTCTACAACCACGTCTGTCTGAGCTTGTTTAAATTTTTTTTTTACAGAAACAATTTCAAATATTTATTAGGTCTCCATTCCTTTAAACAAAGTAGTTGACAAGTGGTACCGGCCTAGTTTGCCATCTAAACTTTTGAATTCAAAAAAGCTAAATAAATTCTGGCCCAAACTCTCATCAGCCAGGTAAGCTAAAATGTAAAATCACTCAATCTTGCTTATAAATGCATGTTAATGCTTGAAACCTCCTTTATTCCAGGTTAAAATAAAACAGGCAGACAGTGCATAAATCGGAAGGCCTTGCGACATACCATTTTCTTCTCAATCAAAAAAGTTGTTCTGTATCTCTGTCGTTCTGTTTGTACTTTTTTGGACCTTTCCGTCATTTTCGACAAATTAATGGTACAACTAATTTTTCCCATAATAAACATTTCCTTTTCACCATTTGTCAATGGATTAATATTCATTCTAAGATTTTTTATATCGTCGATGCGCTTTCAAAATCTCGTATATCGCCAAAATCTCGTATATAACTTTTCTGAACGTCGAAAATCTTCCCTCCGAGCCGCATCTATGTATCTTATTTTCGTACTTCTAGTCCAATTAGAAGTTCCGTTCAGGACATGTGACATAATCTCGTAAAATAATTGGTTGATTATTTTTTCCAATTAAAATCTCGTATATCGTAATTTTGATGTGACCTGATAAATAGACGACGTCGAGACGGCGTTGAGCCTAGAAAATAAACAATACAGGTGAGAATATTATTGAAAATAGTAAATGTATCAATGCCGTTATGTTTTATAAGATATGTAGGAATAATAGGCATTTTATTGTTTTAGTTTAGTGATTCACATCTGCCCAATAAGCAGTACAAACCCGTAGACACCCTGAAAAATCGTTTGTATCAAGTGATATAAATTATATGTGAGCCATGGTTTATTGTCGGTCCTCTCCTTGAAGTTGACAATTCAAATCAGTCTGTTAAAATTAAATTGGCTTTCTGACAGCGATATACGAAAATTTGATTCGCTAATATAATGAAATGAAATAATTTGATGGGAATCATATACGATATTTTGACATCTCGTTTCTTTTAAATTTTGGCATTAGTTCAATGATTTCTCTCTTTCAGGTATAAAATTATATGTTCCCGGTATGGCTGGTTTCTCCCGTGGCAAAAAGCTTGTCAAAATGGCACTGAAGATTAATGATGAGACCAGTAGGTCTACTTCAGCATGTTCCTTATCTAGAGCCTCTGCATGTACAAATCGCATCATTCCATCATCTTCTACCACATCCAGTTCAGCACAGCTCTTCAATAACGTGCCAGGGAAGTTACAAAACGAATATTCATCTCCAAGTATTGAATTTTTAAGAGTCAACCCACCAACAACTTGCTTCGATGATCTATCTAAAAGACTTCCTACCGGTCCCGTTTCTACTGAAAATCATAACCTAGCACCTGCAAGAAGTATCGTGTCCAGATGGTCTAAGATTGATGGTTCTTGTACCCAGTCTTTGAGTCCAGCTCAACATATTAACGCCACAGCCGAATCCCCTTTATGCTCTCCTTTCGGAACAAAACCCAAAGTCGCTTCACCTGGTTCAAACTTGTATAGGATTCAGGGACCATCTGTTCGTCAGATTACACCTACAAAATTACCAAATTACGACTCCGATGACTTCGGAAATGAGTACGAGAGTGACTTTGACGACAGCGATAACGACCCGAACTGGCATCCAGAGAAAAAGCGAAGACTACTCGTTTTCAGTTCCGATGATGGTGTTGAACCATTGCCAGATGATGACGACGATGACATATCTTTGCCTAACACACCAACCAATGCCGACGTACAGGTCACAAACCCAGATTCACCTAACACACCACGATTAACTGATGGCAAATCTAAACGATCAAGGCGTGGTAAACGAATTCCTTTACAATGGGATAGAAATGTAAACCAAATTCTTCGCATGAAAGGAAAATCTTACCGGGGTGTAAAACGTTCTGAAGACGGAAGATATTGTCAAGCGGCAGTTAAGCGTGAACGAAAACTTAAGGAAAGAAAATGTTCTAAAGCGTGTGCCCTATCCAAAAGGTGTGGAGAATTTAGCGAAGAAGATAGATTGTCAATTTTGAATCGTTTCTGGGGTGAGCTAACTTGGAAACAGAAAAAAGTCTTCGTGGCAAATATGGTGGATCAGGTGAAGATGGTTGAAAGAAAGAAACGCGCAGAAGATAGTAGAAAGAAGAATTCTTATCGCTATCATTTGAAGAAAAATGATGCACGCACTGTGGTTTGTCGTAATATGTTTCTATCAACACTCGATCTTCAAGATAAAACTGTGTATGAATGGGTGAAAAATGATGATGATGGTATTCCAAAAGAACCAGCCATAAGGAAACCCCGAGAATCGACAATACAGGTTAATAAAGTCAACAAAGCGAAACAGTTTTTACAGGATCTACCTAAATTACCATCGCATTATTGTCGTTCTACGTCTAAGAAGAGTAAACTAGAACCAATATTTACCACCTTCTCTGAGCTGTTCAAAGTGTATGTTGATGATTGCAAGCAAGAAAACAAGCCATTTTTACGTCGAAAGGCGTTCCGTTCCCTATTTGATGATATGAGTCTGGCAATACATCGTCCCAAAAAAGATAAGTGCGATATATGTTCTGGTTTTGAAGTGGGTAACATTTCAGAAGAGGAATACAACCTTCATATTGCCCGCAAAATAGATGCCCGAAATGAGAAGATTCGTGATAAGCTTCGGGCTGAAACTGATGGCTCAGTTAAAGTCGTTTCTTTAGATTTGCAGTCCCTCCTGTTATGCCCATTACTTACTGCTAGCTCGATGTATTACAAAACCAAATTGGGGTGCCATAATTACACAATTTTTGATTTGGTAACTAAGGAAGCAATGAATTACTTTTGGCATGAAGGTATTGGTGATTTGAATGGTAGTACGTTTGCGTCTTGTTTAGCTGACTACATTCTTGGTTTGGATCCGAACATTAGAGAATTCATCAT